TACCCTGTATTTTTCTCTACACACATATCTATCGTAACGTTTAATTTATAAATTAGGTGCAGCAAGAGATTAACAACAATAACATAATAGAACAGTTATAACAATATAATTAAAGTTATGTGAATGTGGTCTCTCAGCTAACTCGCACTAATTTCTTCTTCCTTCACAATTTCACGGATAGAAGGTTCTTTCTTACCATAGACCTTAGCAACCTCAGCATACAATCTTTAGTCTCTTATTAAGTAAAAAGCTTTCACCTTTTCACTTAAAGGAAGCACTTTACGGCTTCTCTCTGGCATATCCAAATCACCAGCATCACTACTCTTGCAATTTGGGGCTGCTATTAGGTAAAATAAGGGTGACTTGAGCACAAGCACAGAGATACCATGACAGTCCATCTGGTAACCAAGACGGCTACTAAAAGACTAAGGGCAGGGAGTGTCTACAGCATGGAAACGCTAGACAAAGGGAAGGAAGATTCATGTCCTCGACAGGAGGGAGCAGGACAGTGCAAGATGTCATCCCGCTACTCAGAACTTTGCAATTTAAAACTTGTGAATTGTTTATTTCTGGAATTTTCCATTTAATATTTTTGGATCACAGTTGACCACAGGCAACTACCCCACAGAAAATGAAAATGTGGGTAAGAACTACTGTATCATAAGTTAGGTCAAGTTATATAATCAGCAACATTTTCCTCCCAGCTCATAGGGAATTAAAGCTTAACTCTGTTTAAGTGATTATTTTCAGCATCCCAAGGAACCACAAAATCATGATTTAACCAACAGCCCCAAAGGGCAAGTTTGTTGGCATCTATCCATAGAGGTGTAGATCAACATCTGAGTGTCATTTTCCTTGGTGACAATTTAAAATCAGTCTTAGCACTCCCAGGGACTTTTCCACCCCACCCAAAAACAAGCAGGGTGTCCCTGCAGGTGGGCCGCAAAGAGGGTAGGGGTGGGGAGTTAGGAGTTTCGAGACGACACTGGTAAGAAAGAGCAAGGGCAGAACCCTTTCAGCACACACCTGTCCTCAGCACAGGGGACCAGCAAGCCCAGGCCTGAGTGCTGCCTTGGCTTGGCCATTTGGTAGGAACCCTGCCGGCTGCTGGGGCTTTGGGACGACCCTGCGGGGCAAGGCCTTTGCACTTCACTGTGCTGTGCACATGGGCTGGCCAATGAACCAAGTCCAGGAAAGCCAGGCTGAGGGCCACAGGGTGATTCAGGGTGACACGCAGGACAGAGGAGCAGTGTGGGGTTACTGAGAAGGCCTGGGGTGCTGGCTGCTCCTACCTGGGCTGGCTTCTGGCTGCAGGGAACTCAGAGGAAGTGAAGGTGAAGATTCGGGGGCCTCGGCCGCTGGGTGTTCGGCCACTGGACAGATGATAAACCACCTCTTCCCAGTGTGCAGGACTAAGGATAGGACAGAAACAGCTTGTGAGAGTGAGTGCTTTCCTCCCGGGCCAGCATGGCCCTTGCTACAGGCACAACACCTGCCACAGGAGGGTTTAGGAAATTCGTCTCCCACCGGTGAGGGGGTATGCACCCTACTAAGGGCTCCTTGCTGGCCGCTGGAGGCCCTCCCAAGCACCCCCAGCATGGGCTGAGTTCTCAAGACACCCAAGGTAAAACAGGGAAGGGATACTGCTGGCCAAGGGACCAGCAGGCAAAGGCAAGTCCACAGCTGGGCCAGACAGAGTGGCCATCCTGGGGAGGTGGGGAGATGCTCACCGCATGCCCCAACAACCCTCCAATGTGATTGCCAAACCCCCTAACAATATGCTCAGTGGGGCTCTTGTCAAATGCCTGCTGGGAGACAGAACAGACGACAGAAACGCCTCTTCCGAAGCAAGCCTCTGAGGGTGTGGTGTGGCCCAAGGGGCAGACGTACCATTCTGCTGATACACCGGGGCATTGGCTTGGGATTGGCGACTCTCCTGAGGGAGGTAAAGGGCCAGAAATCAGCAGGCTGTGTGCACCGAGAACTGGGAGCACATCGCGGCCCCCAAACATACCAGGGCCTCGGAGATTTGGCGTTTCCAACTGAACGGAGGTGCCCACCTCCCGGCCGCATCCCCCAGTGCTGAATAGCCTGCGGCTCCTGCAGCAGGCACGTGATGTCCCAGCGTTGCTCTCAGAGCCTGCAGCTGGGGGCAAGCCAGGCCCTGGCCCTCCTGGGGCCCTGCAGCCCCACTCACCTCCCCTGCGCCCAGGCCACAGGTGCCGAGAGGCGGCGGGCTGGCCCCAGGGTCGGAGCCACGGTCCGCATCTGTGTCCTCGCTAAGCATGTCCTCCGCCTTGTCCATGACATCCTTCATCTGCTCAATGAACGTCTCCCGCTCAGCCTGCAGGATGAAGTCGTGCTCCACCTGCAAGAGCACACCAGCCCTGCTGTGGGAATGCGCTGCGGCCTGCCCAGTCTTCCCCGACTGGTCTCCCTGACTTCTGCTCCGAACTAAACCCCAAAGGTGAGACACGGCCAGGGAGCCTGGGCCCCGAGCCCAGGACTGCAAAGGTCAGCAGGAACACCTACGGCTTGAGAAGCGGGCCCGCCAGGTGACAGGCCAGCACAGCTGGATGATGGGGAAGGCTGGCCCAAACATTCCCCTCAGCGAGGGTGGCAGCCGAGTGCCCGAGGGACACAGAGGAGACAGCCTCACCAACCAGGGGGAAGTCACTGACACCCGACCCAGCAGGACCCTCACTTACCATGTAGGTGGCGATCTCGTCGGGCGCGTCCCCATCCAGGTCAAACTTGAATGTCACCATCTTGTGGTTGTGCGTCTCCAGCTGGCACTCCACCATCTTGTCACCCGTGTTGCACACCTACGGGACACTGGAGCAGTGAGACCAGAGAGGAGGCCACACCCAGCCATCCCTGCGCCCACCGGCCTGCCACGCCGGGCTCCTCACATTCAAGATGGTCAGCCGGGGACGGTTAGCCCTCTCCTGGCGGGAGCGCGTGCGTGTGGACCTGCGGTGATGTTTTCGGGTAGACTTGCCTTCCAGCTTCCCCCCACCAAACGCACCCTCACAGCTGTCACTCAGCTCCCTTCCAGAAGTGACATCGGAACCTCCATAGCTGCTGGAAAAACAAGAACGTTACCGAGCCCACAGAAATGACCTGCAAGATGGCCTCACATGAGAAGCTTGGCTTTTCAGGAAACAGCTGGAAGCTCTAGTGTCTGGGTGTGCTCAGCGGGAAGACCTATGACCAGCAGAGAAACCCCCGAACCTGTAGCCCCTTCTCCCCCCCCTGGATGGCACTGAGATTGTGGGGGACACATGGGCTTTCTGACCTGAAACCTGGGTTCTGTTAGCCTCCTGACCTGTGAAGCAGCCAACCTGCTTATGGTAAACGTCAGGATTAAGAAACAATCGTCTCCTTTCCCTATCTATGCAACAGCAATGGGAACATGCCAACCATGTGGGGCTGCTGCAAGACCTGAGGATAGTGTGCAGAGCGGGAAGCTTGGTGCTGACTCACCCAGAAGGTGGGACACAGGGCCACTTCCTACAACCAATTCCCTGCCCAACACATGTCCCTTGACTGGGAGACTACAGGCACCCAGCAGCGGAGGCACCAGGACAGAGGTATGGGCTGGACTCTGCCCTGTCTTCCCAGTATTCCCCCATCTCCTGGACCTACTGACTCTCCATTCTAGAACACTCTCGGCACCACAGACCAGTGCCAGCGCTCAGAACACAGCTGGAAGCATCTGACAACAACTACATTTTAACGAGTGGTGACAAAGACCCCAGAGGAGCTCCCTAAGGTTCCACCAGGTCAGGGTTGGAACTGGGAATGTTGTTGGAAGCCTTGACATGTGAGGGCAGAGTGAGGCAGGATCCCTGTGACTCGGCAGCAGGCAGGGTCAGTTGGCATATGGGCCCATGTCATCCCCAGCCCAGCTGAACCATTACCTCTCACAGCTCTGCAGGAGACCGGGCTGCTTGTCCTGTAAGGCCTGCTCCTGCAATAAAACCATGGAAAGGAAGATGGGTCACAGTGGCTCCACCACGGCACAGCCACAGGCAGCCGGCTATCTCCCTACCTCCGCGGCCCAGCCCGCTGCCCGCTCCCTTCTGACTGTAGCAAGTATAACAGGCAGGGCGGCGGGTGTGAGGGCTTTTATCTTGTTGGAGCCAAGTGGATACCTAGAAGCTGGGGCCCTCCCCTTTTCAAACACGCTAACCCACTCTGATCATCCCTATGAGGGAGCACACGCACCCAGGAAGGCTTGTTGCAGAGGCCTTCCCATCACCTCTGAGGGAAAGCACTCTAAATCCATGTGTAAAAATCACGCCTTCCACCTGGATGTGCATTTAAGGAGAGTGTGATGCAGCGGCAGAGCAAGGCAGGTAAGAATGGCACCCGTGGCTGTCCTGGGGCGCAAGCTTCCACCTTCCCCAGTGCAACCCGACTTCAAGGGCTGAGACCCAAGGTCACAAGGGGAGCTGCCGTGATGCTTGGGCCAGGTATCGGGGTGACATGCTGGATGCCTAGCCCTATGGGGAGGGCACACACCTCAGGGACCGGCTCTACCGTCAGCTGGACAGCTGGGCAGGGGCTGGAGATCCCAGGCCCACTGGGCAGTGGCAGGTTAGAAGGCGGCAGGAGCACAGTGGTCTGGACGGGCAAGCTTTGAGCAGCAGCCGCTATCACGGGGGTCAGGGAGCTGGGGAGCTGCGGCAAGAGCTCAGGGGCAGCAGGCGGCACTATTTCCGGCAGAGGCGGGGACAGGATGGCAGCTGGAGCGGGCACCGTGTGGACCTGGGCGCTGATGTCCACGGTATATGGAGGTGGGTGACCAAGCAGGACCTAGGGACACAGAGGACAGGGATGCAAATCGGGGTGCCCTCACCATCCCTGAGGGACCCTGGCATCCTGTCGCAATGCAGGTCCTTCCCTATCCAGGCAGGTGAGCACACCTGGGGTGCAGGTGTCAAGGTGTCCTTCTCCGATGCGCTCACGCCCCCCACAGGCAAGGCCTGGCCTCGGAGAACGTTTGCGCAGTTAGCAGACACAAATAAGAACAGGCACTCCTGAGTCCCCACTTGTGTAAAATCTAACCTAAAACACCTTCACTTATGCACCTCTGGCTGAGTCAGGCTGAAAAGCTGTAAGTGTGGTCACTCAACACCAACACAGGGCCTGGACCACATGCTGCCCCAATTCCTGCCTCCTACGGAGGAGGCCCCAGATCTTGGCCTCCTATGGGGCAACCTGGGAGGCTGGACTGACTCCTTACTGTTTCCTCTTTAAAAGCTATCGGCAGAAAGGCTAACAGGCAGGAGGACCCCAGCCTGAAAATGAAAAGGCAGGAGACTCCATCCTGCCTCAGTTCGGGGTTGAAGTCAGAAACAGAACAACCTGCCGCTGGGCCTGCTGGCACGAGACTGGTCAGCCACAGGAAAGCCCGTGGGGCAGCCAGCCCAGCCCATCAATAACGCCCAGACCCTCCACAGGCCAGGCAGTTGGGAGGCCCCTGGGCCTGGCCAGTGACCTCTGAGTGCACAGTGCCTTCTCCAGCCACAGGCTGAGCAAACAACCCAGTGCCAATGTCGTTCCAGGCCAACGTGGGCAGCAAGTGTCCAGGCCCTGACAAGGCAGGCCTCCAAGCGGGCCTCAGCTTTCCCCAGACGGCCCTGACCCATGAGTGGGCATTACTCTAAGTGACGGGCTGTCCAGGCGCTCGTTCAGTCAGGACACAGTGGGGCTGGTGTGCCTCCTCACATTCGTGTTTAAACAACAGAAACCATCCTTTCCTTCTCCTAATACAAAACCTTTCTGGGAAGACAGCAAGAGGCACGTCCAGGAGCATCTACATACACTCAGAACATGGAGTCTTAGGCTGGAGTAAGTGCCCATGAGCTGGGGGCACCTGGCACCCTGGAAAGGTGTGGAATGAATCTTCCTAATAGAATCCAAAGGGGTTGTGATCCCCACCTTACAAAGGAGGAACCTGACCTTTAAAAGGCAAAGGACGGTGCCCATGGGCACAGGACTGTTGAGGTTTAGAGCCAGTGTGGGGCCAGGTGAGGGGTGCCCAGGTGACAGGCTCACCGGGTAAGAGGCCCACCCCACGTGAGAAGCCCTGAGGTGGAAGGGCGCCCAGTTGAGAGCCCCCTCAGGTAGGAGGGTCCCCTGGTAAGAGTGAGAGGCCTCAATACCACTCCTCTCCTCACAGAGGCTGGATAACAGCCCTGGCACTCTAAAACACGTGCGGGCTGTGTAGAGCCACCACAAGGTTAGCCCATCCAGCAGGGCAAGTGACCGTTCCCCTTCATGTCAGCCTGGCAAACTGCCCCAGATCCCCACCTGACTGGGACATCATCCTTGTCTGCCATGACTACCTTGGAACCAGCAGCCACATGCCCCCAGCACTGCCCGGCCCACGACTGATAGAACCCCCACCCCGCCATTCCCAGAACCCTGGTGCCCCATTTCCTGGCTGCTGACATGGGGGTTAACCACCTGCCTCATTTTGACAGGTGACAAAAGACAGGCAGTGTGAGCCTTCCCAGTACCCATGGAGGGGCTGACATAGCCGCAAGGAGCTGACAAGGGGCTGACATAGCTGCCAGGCCCCTCCTAGGTGAGGGCAGGTAGTGTGACTCCCAGCATGGCTGGGACTCCCCACAAGCAGCTGGAACCTATGGCCAACCTGATTCCCACAGCTCCTGACACATGCCAGGAGTAGGAGGAGGCAGCAGACATCGCCACACTGGGTGAGAAGCCAAGGCTGCGGGACTGTGGTGCCTGCTCGTCTGGACCCGCTCTGCCCGCGCCCCCCAGCCAAGATGCTAAGGAGCAGAGGCCTGCCGACCCCTCGCAACTCTGGGTACCAAGGGGTCTCCCAGTGCCAAGTGAGCAGGCCCCCAGCAGGTAGATTACCTGGCTCCCCACCCCAGCAGCAGGAGCAGTCTGCTCAGGTAGGTCGGTAATGCTTGACTGGTGGGGCTGTGGCAGCGTGGGGGGTGCTGGATGCAGAGGGGTGGCCCTCAGGGTCTGTGCAGTGTGGAGGGGAGAAGGCGGGACGTCGCTGGGCACTATCTGTGGAAAGGCTGCCTGGTACACGGGCTGGGCCGGGAGCTGGGCCACAGCAGGATGAATGGACAGGGCAGCCATGCCCTGTGGGGCCACAGCCAGCAGAGGGATGGCAGTGGCGGTGGCTGCCACGTTTGGCAAAATGGTCCGGCATGGCATGGCCAGAGGTGCCCCGGCAGGGTGGGGCAGCTTGACTGCCTGCAGAGGCAGGGCCGGTGACGCGGGCAGAGGGGCGGCGGTGTTGAGTGGGAGGCTTGGCAAGATGACGGCCGGAGAGAAATACTGAGAAGGGGGAGGCACAGCGGGCCCACTGGCAGCCGGCAGGTCGGGGAGGGCTGCAGGGAGGCTGTCGACTGTGGCCAGCGGAGCGACGGGGGGGATGACAGGAAGTGGAGGCATCTGAAAGAGACATGAGTATGTCAGCCTCACTGGGGCTCAGCCCCACCGGAGGCACACCTGCCCCGGGCAAGAACAGCCACACCCCCCCGCAGGTTCTGCCTGAGACACGTTCATGCAGCTGCTGCCAAAGGAACTCAAATGAACATCCAATTTAAATGGAACCAGGTCCACGACACGTTCAACCAGAGACGGGAAGGCAGGAGGCTCAGAGGGCGGTGGGCGTGGGAATGACCTGGGAGAGCCCCCTTCAGCACCACCATAGAGGGACCCATGGTGGCTCCAAGGATGGCAGAGGCAGCTCAGATACAAGCAGTCACAGCAGTGACCACAGGCTTCACAGTTTTGGCATGTTTTCATTCATAACAGCTAGGATGGTGACAGCCACCAGACAGGGCCCAAACATCTGAAATTACTTTGCCTGGTTCTCCCTAATCTGTATAAATTCACACTGAGACCAAATTCCCTGGCGGGAATGCATTTCATTGAGTCCCTGCTGCTGGCCGTGACACTCAGGACACTCAGCCTGGAGGAAGGCGTCTCCCACAGTGGAAGCTTCCAAACCTTCCATGTCGGTTTTCCATTCTGGAGACTCCCAGTATCTGACTTTATGGATTCCATGCTTCAAACACTTCAGCAGATTTTCTGACAGTTCTCGCTCCAAAATTAAGCCTTTCTGGCAGGCACATGAGCATCACATAAGTGCCTTTGTGCAATTATAAGGCAACGAAAATGTGCAAATCGACTTCTGTGTATTTGAAAAGCCACTAACTGCCATGACCACCCATGAGCAAGGCAGTGGTTTCACTGGACAATGAAAGTGACTCTAACACAACATGACGAGGACAGTCCAGGTGATGGGGAACAGCTGACAGGTAAGACCTTCTAGGTAGTGGGGTGAACCACAGGGACACTCGCACCCTCCTCATGAAGCAGCACTTCTATCACTGTCCCGAGACACGCTGTGACGAGACCCATGAGGCGAAAGACATCCCCATGACCATCGATGGCATTAGCCTGGACAACGGCACCCAAAGACCAACCATGTGGTCTTAAGTGTCACTGGTTACAAAATGCACCCCACCCCCCACCAACCCCCCAAGAAGCCATGGTCAGCATGGCCTCAAAGGACAGACAGTGACTGTAGATCCTGTAGCTCTGTGCTAACAGCTCTGCCCTGGCTCCTCCAGCCTGACTCTGGGGTAAACCTAGCCCGTCCCGGATACACCAGAGAGACACACAGGGCAGGTGGGCACCACAGCCCTACTGTGGGAGGAGGATGAAGGACATGAGTGGGGAGGTACCTGCGGAGGGACTTGAGCAAGTGGCTGCAAGGGCACTGGTGGCATCTGGAGGGGCTTCAGCTGAGCAGGGGCCACCTGGGAGGTTGGAGCCAGGTACGGAGGCAGGTGGGGGGGCACTGGCTGGAGGGGGCCCACGGGCTGCGGGGCCAGGACCTGTTGCATGGGTGCTGGCTGGGCCAGCGGAGGAGGCTGCAGGGAGACAGAGGGCTTCTCTTAGACCAGCATCCTGCTGAGAGATGCCCCAGGTGCTTAGAGATGACAGAAAATCAATGAGCACGTGCGCACGCACACACCCACCCAGCCGGAGCCCAGGACATGCAGATCTGGGAGAATCGTCGTGTGTGAACAGGGCCCCTCCTACTGCTCATGGGTCCACAGCCACAAAAGACCCGTCCCAATGCACACCGGCATCCGGGCCTAGGCCAGCCAACACAGATGGTCAGGGCAGACTGAGGCACCAATGGCGGCCATAGGGTGGGGCAGCCTGCACTCACCTGGTGGCCAGAGGGCATAGGCTGGCCTGGGCCAGTCGGCACGGGAGTGAAGCTCATGGCCGGTTCCGGGAAATGCTGCTGTGGCAGTGGAGCTCGGGTGAGGGGCGGGATGGGGCCCACCGACACACCAGGCTGCAGAGAGCACCAGGGGTCACGGTCAGCAGCTGCCCTGAAGACTCCCACCCAGCCATGCGCATGACAGCTGCAGGGACCCATCTCTCACTTCCCATGCCCACAGTCCCGCCAGGAACGCTTTTCCTAAGAACATGAATCAGCAGAAGCAAGGTGTGGTGGCCCCTAAGCCGAGAAAGGCCACAATTCATAACCAGAGAACATTCTGGAACATCGGCTCCACAGAATATTATGCAACCATGAGAAAAGATCATTATAAGGGCTTTGTGAAGCTGTGTAGACACACTTGTTATGTCACTCACTGAGGAAAAGATACAAATAAATGCACGTGCTCCTTGTCTATAGTACCATACAACACACATACATGTGACACGGTCACAGAAAACAGAAACATGTGCACAAACTGCGGGGCAGCACCAGATGGAGGGGTGTTCCAGAGCCGGGGTCTCCAGTGACTCGGCCACTGGGAGAGAAATAGGGCCACAAATGTGAGCCCTCACGTGTGGACACAAGAGGTCCCAGAAGAGGTGCTCTGCTCCCAAGCCCTTTCCTCCACTGGGTCCCCGGGGCGGCTCACCATGGTAACCCTTCGCAGGAGTCCTGGGTGAGCCCTCGGGACCTCCTCCAGGCCCCACTCTCTGTCCAAGATGTAAACAGGCACGATGGGGGAAAGCGCCTCGGCCAGGCGTCTGGCCAGCCAGCCCCAACCTCCCTGTCTGGGAGCGGAAAATGGAATAGGCCAGGTGCTGCCAGGATGGATGGAGAGCACCCTGTGGGAAGGGGACACCTGACATGGCCTGGAAAGGACATTCCAGCTCATCTCCAGCACAGGTGAACCCAAAAATAAGAAACACCACTGAGCAGCTTTTTTCCTCAAAGCTGTTCCCGCCATTCAAAACTGTATTTCACTTCATTTCATGAAGCGAGCAAAACTGCAAATGCAAATTGCCAATGAGTCCTGGACTCTGATCAGCAGAGGGAAACACTTCAACTGCTTTTCCAGAGGGACTTTCTGAGCCAGATCAGACAACAGGGGAGGGAAGAGAGAGTGAGGTGGCTGGAGAGACTGCAGTGACCCAAAGGCAGCATGCGAGTGAGAGCCCAGGACACCGGAGCCCGAGGAAGGCAGCTGGTTCCTTGGGCAGAGGCACCCAGCCCTGACCTGCTGTAGGGCCTCAGGAGTCAAACTCTGTCTCTGGACCCCACTCCACTGCCTGCCTCGAGGCCAACTTCTCTGACTGCTTGGGGATGCAAAGCAAACAACTGTTTTCCTTTTTTGGAGTGAAAAACAAATCGGAATCAAAAAACAAATGCCAAATGTGGCCCTCTCATCTAACCATTTCCACTTCGTTTATTAGGCTCACACATTATCCCACAGGCGTAAGCATGAGGCCCTTTCAATCCTGCTTCTCAAACATCAGGGAAAATGTTTCTCACCATTCGGCATCATCCACACCTCTAAATTTTAACAGCCGCCTCCTACCTGGCGGAGAGGTGCCACCTTCAGGGAAGCTGGACAGACAAAAATCAAAGGTTTCATTACTATAAATGATGCCTTTCTGCCACTTTGCACGGCTCTGAGAGTGGGACTCTGGCAGCTTATCACAGCTTCGCAAGCACTGGGTGTCAAATGGGCTGTTTGTTTTCTCACCAGGCAGGTCTCTCAGGGTAGGTTACAGGCCGTTACTGAGAAAGATGGACCTCCAGAGGGCCTGCTTTTGCATGGCTGGGAACTGACCACAGGCCAGTAAAGCCTGGATGACCCATCACAGACTGCACCAGGGTCTCTGGCTCGAGGGCCAAGCTGACTCACCGCGACGGAAGGCTGGTAGGCGCCCAGCGAGGGCAGGCTACGTGGCAGGGCTGGCCCATCACTCATGCTCACCGGGGGACTGCACACGCTCTGGGCAGTGGGTGGCGCCGTGTCCACCAGCGAGCCCAGCACCACGCTCTGCTGGCTGCTCTGCGAGTCCGAGTACACAGTGGAGCCCTGGCCGCTGTCAAACGTGCTGTCGGCTGGGGAGGACAAAGGCACGGCTCAGAGGGGCACCCCAAACGACACTCCCACGGCATTCTACACAAGACTCGGGGGAAGCAAACGTGGGCTCACACACGAACGCTTGGCTCGTCTGTATGTTTTCTTCTACAAAACAAAGACTCGGTTATGTTTCCCAATCACGTAAGTACTGAATGTGGGTTATTTTAAAGTCAACTAGAGAGCAGTGTGGGGACTAACTGTACCACCCAGAGATGACCCCAGTGGCCTGCCTACACTGCCTGACACCTTGGGGGGACGGGTGGCACGCCCCGTGGGTCACCTGGACCCCAGGGGCACCTTGCACAGGCCTCGTAGGCAGGACAGCTGCTTAGACGGGGACCTCACGTAGCACCTGACCTGTACTTGACAGTGACCCTCATTCTGCTCATCACAAGAGCAAGGGGTCTTGGGAGGCCAAAGGAATGCCCAAGTTAGAAAAAGCTCCAGTCACATGGAAGAAATAGTTCTCAACTGTGTTTTATGGGGGGAGCACCTTTATTCACTGTGACAAAGAGCCTGAAGCAGGAAGATCTGGGTCCAAATCCGGCCTCTCACATCACAGGCCAGGTCTAACTTGGTTGAAAAAAGGGGCTGACAAGGCCCCCACACCAGAGAGAGACCGTGAGAGGGAACCCAGAGGCCCCACAGCCTCACCCAGTCTGCCCAGCATGGCCAGCGAAAAGCGGCCACAGTGGAGAGCGGCCACAGGACAGGACCTGCACAGCCCACAGGCTCGTCTGACCAAATGCACCGGGGAAGGCAGGTCACCTGTGTGGTCCTGCGAGTAAAGAGTGACAAACAAAAACCTACTTGAAATGGCACATCTGGTTTACTGCTTCCAGGTTCTAAAGCTATACAAACAGTATGATTTGTCACTTATGAACACCAAGCTATTCCTACAGGGAGCCACCTTTCAGAGTCTCAGCATAATGTCCTTTTGCAACTTAAATAACTAGAATAAAAGGGAATCTTGTCAGTTTTGCACTAAAATAATTTTTCCCCAGGGCTGATCAGAACTTATTTTAACCACGGAAGACATAAGAATGCTGAGATTTGACTGTGCAAAACCAATTAGACAAATGGCTCTGGTTTTTAATGAGGTGTCTGGTAGTGATCTCCACTGACACAGAGAGAGGAGAGAGAGAAGCAGAGACAGAGAGGGGAGAGAGACAGACAGACAGAGAAAGACACAGAGACGAGAGTGTGCTTGCACGAGACAGAAGCACAGACACAAAAACAGAAACAGAGACAGAGAGAGACAGAGTGAATGCATGAGAATGGGTACAGACCTGACAAATTTCACATAAACCAACTCTAACTGTACATCTAATATTTAAAATATTTTAAGTGGACATATTATTTGTATAATTAAAACTTGATTTTAAAAATTGCTTTTACACCTACTGACAAATTACATTCTTGTAGTCTTCAGGTGCTAGACCAGGCCCCTCATTGGACTGTGGTGGGCAGTTAACAGAAAATGTAATGGAGACTCATAAAATGTGCTGTTTGCTGATCCTTCCAGCATGAATGTGCCTGTGTTTGCCCACCTTGTTACCTAAAGCCAGGTCCCTTCTCTCATGACGTGTGCTGCCTGGCATCCCCATCAGTTTACCCTTATGCAGCACAGCGTAACCAGCCATCCACGGCGCTGTGGCCAGAGGGATACCTGCGCACAGGCCTTCTGTCCGCATCCAGCAGGGTGCTGAGTGGTGGGTGCCATGGCTGTGGCATAGATGCAGGTGTGCGTGCGTGCGGCGTGCGTTGTGTATACGTGTGTATACGTGCCTGTGAGCATGGGCGTGTCAGTAATCACATGCATGCTCTTTCTGGAAGAAGGTACAGCTAAGGGACAGGTAACATCAGTGGCCTCCAGGGAGGAATATTAACTGGCTTTTGCTGTTCACTGTCTTGCACTTTTTGAATTTTATATAATGTGAATATGTTACTTATTTTAAAGAAATTACAATAAATGGGTTAAAACACTTTATCCATAAAACATTTACTTCTCATGGCAGGGAAGTGTGGCCACTACATTAAGTGTGCAGAGCCCTTCTGAGCTGGAAGGAAGGGTCTGCATGCGGACAGAATGACCACCCTGAACTGAACTCATCTGCTGAGCCCGCTCTCTCTACACAGAGGGTCAAACCTGGATCATGACCTCTGACCACAGCAGGGCCTATTCTCGGTCCAGACTGTCTCTCCAAAGTGCAACAAAGGAAATGTTTTAATTCCTGTCCTAGAAATTATTCGACCAACAGTTACATTTTTAAAGTGTGCAGTGCTTTTTCCTACAAAAAGTTTATGCTCTTTAATTAATATTTTTAGTTTATCAGAAAATGGAAACACGATGATGCAGCGATTTTATTCTCCAGAGCAAACTTGAGCAGGCTGGAAGGAAGTAAACATTAAGTAAATGGTCTCCAAGTGACGGCCAGCCACTGCTTTTAATTGAAATAGCCTACTTTGAAGAACGTTCAGCTACTTGAATGATACATGAAGGATGCGCCTATTAAGCAAATTAAGCATACTATTTCCGTCTCTCCACATGAACAATTGGAAACAGTGGCCTGGGTAGGCTGCTCAGCTCTGCATGCTTTTCTCAGATAGAAGGAACAGGCCACGGCCTCTATCCTTAGCTCATAACTGCATTTGGGGACACTGAGGGCAAAAGAGGATACATTTCTGCTAGACTTGCAGACGAAACTAGGTTCTGTCTTCCGGGGCTCTGAGATGAAGCTAGGTACAAAGTGGTCCGACCCCCATCAGCAACACTCCCCAGGAAATGGACAAAAGATCGCAAAGGTTCGGCACTACAAGGGAGATAATCTTGGGGATGGACACTCCTGGAAACAAAGGTCACAGCAGCATGACTGCTCCACCTGCGGCCAATGCCAACCCCAAACAAAGGTGTCCTGGCACAGGCACCCCATGTGACTGGGACTAACATCCTCCAGGCAGGTGAGCAGCCAAATGAGCCGCTGCGTCCCTGCTGGCTCGGGGCACAGGAGGTCCTAGGTCTGCCTGCACATTTGTCCCCACCTGTCCTGAAAGGGGAGCCTTAAACCCCTCTGGTGAGATCTCTGCAACATCAGGGATGCTCCTGACGGCCCCCTGGAGAATGCCTGCTCACATCAATGGCAAACGCTGATAGGGTACCCAGGGCAGGCACGGCAGACAGTGGTACTCACAGGCCAGGGAGGTGGCGCTGGCCAGCAGCACGGTGGGGAGAAGGTGCTGGTCAGCCTCAGGCTCCTCAGGCTCCAGCAGCCCGGCCTGTGCGTGGTAGGTCACCTGGACTTGCAGGGGCACGGCATGTGGGCCCCTGGCCTTGTCAGGGCTGCCTGGCTCCCGCTGCTCCTGGGGCTGCAGCGCTGGCCAGATCCTTTCCCGCCGCCACTGGATCAGTGCCACGCGGTCACGGATGGACTTGGCCACGATCTTCACGTCGCTCTCGTGGAAGAACCCCGACTCAATCTGCAAAGGGAGTCACTTGTCATTACTGGGACTGTCCCCGCCCATGCGTCCCACTGCTGGGCCCATCCTGCCTCCTGCACTGCCACCTCTGGATCATGCAGTTTCTGCTGAAAAGCCCCTCCTCAGGGACCCTCACCCCCGTTTTTCAGGGATGCCTTCCCCATCCCATAAGGAAATACCCTCCAGTCATTGACTATAAATCCACAGGGAGAGTGCCATCTGAACCTGCACTGGCCTAGCTCAAGGGACAACCCCTGGGGCAACGATGACACAGCAGGGGCTCTTAACATGGGCTGGGTAAGGGAAAGGGAACCCTAATCTGCCTCTCACCCTGGAACAGCCCATCAGCTGGGCCCTGGGGGCTTCCCGGAGCCTCCTGCCCAGGCTGCCCAAAGGTAGCAAGGAGGTCCTGGCCAAATCCGTGTTTTCGGGGACAAAGACAAGGATCCACAGCCCTTGCTGTCCTCAGCATTCTTTGAGAAGTCACGGGGCCCAGGAAAGAGGAACATTGGATAACTTGAGACCAGGAAGGTGTGAATCGTGCCTGGCCAAATTCTGAACCTGATTTATCCAACAGAGTATTTGAGAGCATGTGTAAAGGAGCCGAGGCTCCCCAGGACATGTGATGGCTCTCTCCAAGTATATTCATGGCCAAATCACAGGACAGTGGAAGGAAGCCAGGCTGCTCTCCATCACCATGGCATCCCCACGTGGAAAGAGAGAAAACCAGAGAAGGGGCCTTGCAGTGCTGGTCGGGAGCTGTGTGAACTTGCAGTTTTCAATGCACAACAGGCAAATACACGCAGATGTCGACACACATGTGTGCATACAGCATAGCATGTGCACAGTACGCAGGTGTCTTCTGAACCGATCATTGAGAGCAACCACAACCAACAGCACCAGGACATGCCATTAAGAGCACGGGCGGGCCGGCCGAGTGGCGCATTGGTTAAGTAAGAGCTGGCTTGGGACGCCAGAGGGCCCCGGTTCGGATCCCACATATGAGGGCCAGTGACACTGCCCTCCACAGCTAAGATGCTGAACAACAGCTCAACCTGGAGCTGGGCTGCCGTGAGTCGCCTGCGACGGCGTAGGCTGCAGCCCCTGTGGCAGTGGGTTGCCATGGGCTACCGTGTGTAGCCAGCAGCCAGCGTGAGCGGTCAGCAGCCGCAGTGAGTGGCCGTCCAGAAGTCAGAGACTGATCTGTCTCGCCCGGGAAGAGGACAGTGATGGTGCCAACTTGGGCCAGTGGAGCAATGTCCTCCACAACTAGACTGTAGAACAAAAGGACAGCAACTTGTCTGTTCCCCTTCCCCCAATCCCCCAATAAAAATCTTTAAAAAAAAAAAAAAAAGAAAGAAAAGAGGGCGGGCTCCCCATGAAACAGCGGGTGTAGGTCAGCAAGGAGAGGACAAGGGGGCCCGGACATCAGCTTGTGCCAGAAAGTAAGGATGTGCTTTGGAGAATGACAGCCATGCAGCAAGACAGAGCCAGCGCCCTGGGCCGCCCACTGGCGAAACCTGACATTCTGAACATCAAAATACACAGTGACACCACAATGGTTTGACAGACGTATCCACAAATGCACACAAGAGGAACACAAGTGATCTATGGTGGCAAGAGTGATGGGTGTCATTGCCAGTACAAGGTTACACAAAGGGGAACACGTCTTTGCATTCTGTCTCTCCCTCTTTCTGCCTCCATCTCGGTATCTGCTCAGTCTCTCTCTCTCTCTCTGTCTGTCTCAGTACCCCTGTCTCTGCCTCTATCATTCTCTCTCTTTGTGTCTCTCCCTCCTGTGGATCGCCTGCATCATAAGCACACCTGTGGAATAACCCACCTGGCTGGGAACTAAGACTCCCACCAGCAGCCAGGTGAGTGTGGACACCGACCCTCGGCCCCGGTCAGCCCCGGCCGCACCTCATGAGAGGCTCTGAGTACAAAATGCCTTTTAAGCCACTGCTGGTTCCTGACCTTGGAAACTGGGGGAGGCCATGTGTGCACAGTGCGGGGTTGGGTCACTTGCTGCATGCACAGTGACATGTAAATCACCACTTGGCACAGATAACCTACTGAATAAAACCAAGCCATGAGTGCAGAGACAGAAATAAATGGAAAATTTGGTGAAATGGACATTTGCATAGTTCCAAGGTACCTCCCACAAAAGTTACTAATTATGACTGCATTTGGAGACCCCCCGGCAGGCACCCCAAAACCACGTGATCACAGGACGCATCCTTGGTGAGCTGGCCTGCACCCAGTATTCCTGCAGACACACTGATGGATGGAGAGGGAGCTGAGTGAGGTGGCTGATGCACCCCTGATCCGTGCTCTGGCCCTGAAGGCTCCACTGGGCCACTGGGGGTCCTGAGTGGGGCTGGGATGCCCCCGGGTCTGACTGCTCGGGCGGCTATGTAGGAAAGTCCTTCCTTATCTATGAGAAGCTGACAGCATATTCAGGTTCACGGGGCATCAGGCTGCGATATCATCTCAAACTGTTCTTTGTCACACATTTGCAACATTTCTGTAAGTTTGCGATTACTTTACTTCAAAAACTCATTTCAGAAGACAACTCTAACAGAATGAACCATGCTGAAACCCAGGCCCTGGCAGGCTCAGCCCAGGACGGCAGAAGTGTGAGCAGGGCCAGCAATGTCACCAGGGTAAGAGTAAGGGGCTGAGCCTGAGGTCAACACTGCCTGCCACCCAGCGGGGCCCACGCAGCCACCTGAGCAAAGGCCGCTCACACGTGCTCCTGCTATTTTTGGCCCATGACCCATTTTTCCTTCTGTCTCCCCCCAGCAATCCTCTCCAAGGTGTTTCTTCTATTTTTTCCCAAACAGGGAAGGATTTTGCCACATTCTGTGCCACACTGAAATGTCCCATTATCTGGAGGCTGTGAAGGCAGAGGAAGGGCTGGCACCTCAAACTCAAGAACCCCCGGGGCTGGGCCCCAGCCTTTCTTCCCTCCCCTGCGGGTCCACATCGAGGGGACACCTCCAGATCGAAGGCAGCCCAGGCCCCAGAGAACCCATCCTTCCGTCAGCCCCCAGGACCTCGTGTTCTGACCCCGGCCTACGCACACTACCCTCCAAACCCCACGTTCCTGCCTACAATCCTGCTGAGGGGTAACTTCAGATGTGGATGTAGAAGAGAAGCTGCCCGTCTGCCTCCCTCCCACCCTCAGGCGGCCTCATCAAGTTCTGGAACATCTTCCAAACCCAACACTCACTGACAGCGGCGACTAAGCACAAGGCAGCCCAGACACCGTTCCAGGTGCCCAGACCCACGGCATGGTGACACCCTGTGCTCTCACTGAGTTTCCTTGTGAAGTTGCCTTCCGTTTATGACAACTGACACTAGTGTTTCATTCATGGTCCTCTCTGTTACTTTAAGTTCTGAAGACGTATGTATGCTGAGTTACATACAGCTGGGGATAAGTGACCACCTGCAGAGCAACTCCAGGAGTGAGCCTCCTCAGGGGCCTGGTGCTCGGCCCAGGGATGGCCAGGAGGGGCCCAGGGAGAAGGAGGGCCCCGGACCCTGGTGTCCCCGGGACCCAACACCAACCACAAGGCCCAGGCAGGAGCCAGGAACAGCAGCCAAGTGCGATGAAGACCCCGCTGGGGGACCACAGCCACTTTCGGCTCATCACAGCCAGCTCAAAGGCGCTGGACTTCTTCTGTTTTCTCAGCATATGGTCGGAACACGTTGTTTCATTTTTATTCTTTACCTGAACACAGTCATATGCCTTCTTCTGCATGGGCACTGCACTGCACAGAGGACGAGAAGGGAGAGACACTGGGCCCAGAGCCCCCACTGTGATCCAGAGACACCATCTGCCCGCCAGTGCAGCCAAGTGCCAGGGTCTGGTGAGGACGCGCCTGGGGGCAGGCAGCTGTGCGACAGGAGGGGATAGGCATCCAGGTTGAGATCAGTCTTCTAGGGAGTGGGGGGCAGGTCCCAGGAAAGTGACTGAATCCAAGACCCTGAGTCAGAGGCAGCTGGGTGGCTGAGGCACAGATGGCGCTGGGCAGCGCCACCATGTGGAACCCCTCTGTGTCAACACCCGTTGTCCTCCTGGGACTGCATACTTGACCCCATATGGCTCCCACTAAAGCCCGAATCCCTTCCGGGGCAGGAAGGCTCCCTGGAGCCCTCACAGCCACAGGGCAGGCAATGCTCTAGGGGGACAGGAACTCTGCCGGCCACCTGTGCTTCCAGAGCTGCTGCCTCAGCATCCCAGAAGGGCATGCCCCCCTCTGCCCCAGGGACCCACCTTATCTTCACAAGGGGCTGTTACCCTCCACCCGTCACCTGGTCAGCATGTTCTACTGGCCAGGTCCCCCAGCCCCCGAGGTCCCTCCAGGACATTCTACACATGACCTGCACCCTGGAACCTTGGCTCACAGGCTACAGCCCTGCATGCCCCCTCACTCGTTACTTATGTTTGTACTTTAAGTTTCAGCAGGAAGCAGGAAGAGACCGTGATGTCACAGCACAAGGAGAAATGGCAGTGCTATGTTCACAGGACTGCCATGCTGGTAATTATCTTAACGCAACTCCCAGTAAATACACAGCAATTCAACAGCGCACCAGGGAAGGTCAGTGGAATATCACCTGCTTCCAGCAGACGTGTCTGTTTCTGGGCCCAGGGATGTTGCTGGCAGCTGGGAAGGTGTGAGATGGTCCTGACCCGGGCTTTGGGCCATCCGCAGGAGCATCACGCCCACTTGCACATGCCCGGCACAGCAGAGGCACAGGCCGCTGTCCAGGCGAAGGCAGGGCCTGCTGGCCGTGCACTCCTGCTCCATCCCGCTCAGACCTGCTCCACTGCCCATACCTAGCCCCCGGATCCCTCGCCCGCCATGTGCCTGGGGCTCCTACTCCTATGTGGTTTAGTAGCCAGCCTCTGTTTCCTCATCTGAGCAGGGCCTGGAGAACTAGCAGGTGGATGTGCTGCCCACAGAGCCTGCACAGGCGGCCTCCCGCCACCGTTCCCTCCACCCTCCAGCACCATGGTCCACTTCCTACTCTTAAAGCCCACCTGGGCCCAGGGAGTCCAGCTGTGGAGAATGCCGGCCGTACCCTTGTGACTATGCACACTTTTGATAGATGTGCTATGGTCAGTAAAGCATTCATTTAGAAAAAGAGGAAAAGGGGCGTGCCCTTTGTATAGTTATGACAGCATAGCAAGTGCTCATTCTCCTGTAATGAGCATGTTGATTTTTACTTCTGCTTAGTATCCCAGTAAAAATCAGTGTCTCATTACTTTCTCACATTCCCCTTTCTCCCTCTGCCACACTGAACACCCCCACACTCCTGCTCCACTGGGCCTTCTGGACCACAATGCCTCTCAAAAACAAAGTAAAACAGATGCAAACTCAAAAGCCTACATTTACACAAAGCAGCAAGAAGCTGGCCAAAAGGGCCTTTCTCTGCACCATTCCTGAGTGGATGCCCAGTGTCTGGGCAGTGCAGGAATTCCCATCTATGCTGTCCTCAGAGATGCACTTGATGAACAGTCCTCTTCCAGACCACCCTCTTGCCAGGACCATGCACCCTTTCTGAATTTGTTCTAATCTTTGGAAGCCACAGGCTTGCAAAGCACATGCCACGATTTGCCACAGCCCACCCACCACCCACAGCAAGCGAGCACTGAGTTACCATCTCCTGAGCCACGTCGTCCGGCGTCTCCCTTTCCAGGTCGAAGGTAAACTCTATGGCCCCATTGTCCTTGGGTTTGCCCTTCAGTTTCTTGGGGTCCTCGACCCAGAGCCTCAGGGCAATGGTGGACTTCCTGCCATGGTCTTCCTCGGCCAGCTCCACCCTCACGCCGGTGTCCTCCGCGAAGAAGGCGTGGCTGAGCAAGTCCTTGATCTCATACCTGGGGAGAGGGAGGCTGAGGGGCACACCTGCTGGGAAAGCCTGAACACAGGTGCTGGGGCCATGAACCACTCAGCTGCCTCTAGTAAGTTCTCTGACTACTTACTACCTGTTGGGCAGGCTCTGCCCTACAAGGGAAACACAATAGTTTACATGTGCATTCCCTAACTCCCGGGGGAGGAAAAAATACTCCTGCCACATCTCACTGGTAGTGTTTAAGACTTTTCTCTGATTATAAAATGAAAACATGCTCATGGTGAGAGACTCAGGGAATCCAGAAAAGAATTTCAAGCCAGGCTCTGCTATACAGGCATAGGCCTGCTGAGGGGCAGGTGAACTCAGTCATCACAAGAATACCTGGCTCCAGGTAAGACTGAACTGGATCCAATTTCATTTTCAGGGGGATTTTGGGAGGCTCCTCAGGACAGGAAAGGTGTGGCTACTGGATGTTGCCACGGTAACCACATTAGGCAAACACTAGTTTAGTTCCTGTTCCCAGCACAAAAGGATCCATGCATTATCCCAAGCCTGGCTTCCTCCCAGGGTCAAATCTGTGGTCACAGTGGGCTATGAGCTCCAGTGGCCCAACCCCTGTGGACAGCTACCTCAAAATGAAAGGGGGACAGCCTCGTAAGGTGACTCTCAGCAAGGTTGACAAACGCTATAGGGCCACTGGGGAGGGGCCAAGGTCATGGCCCCTAGGGAGAATCAGAGGTTGGTCAAGGCCCCTGCGGGGATGGGATGAAGGGCAAGGTCATGGCCCTGGGCGCTCTGTAGGTCTTGGACTGGAAGGTGGTTCACAGGGTCTACTCTGAGGATTCTTTGGCTCTGTGTGGTTTTTCCTGTACTTTTCTGATATGGGTTATATTTCACAAGTGTCCAGTATTTTCCCTTAAAGAATAAATCCTGCAGGGGGCAGGAAAGAAGGCCCAGGAATCAGGACAGGGATCCTGCCTTTGAGATGATGGCTGTGGGAAAGGACAGTCATCAACGCTGGGGACAGTGACCAGGGTGGCCATGTGCTGGGTGTGCACGGGCCAGGAGGGCACAGGGGGGAGAGGAAGAAGTGAGGAGAGAGGAGGGGGAGGAAAGGGGAGGGTGGGGGATGGGCAGGAGAGGAAGGGCAGTGGGTAGAAAGAAGAGAGGAGGTGGGAGGGAAATAGGGAGGAAGGAGCAGGGCTCAGAACACACACCCCGTTTCCTGGCAGACCAGCTGAGGAAGGAGGGGCCCTGACCACCCAAGGAGGTGGGAGCTGGTTTTGGTGGCATCTCTGACTTGAACATGATAACCTGCAGAAGGGTTTGGGATGGGTCAATCATAGGTGCATGGAATATGCAGCCTGGAGTTGAGAAGAGAGGGCAGGAAGAGATAAATCAGGGAGCCCAGGCATGGGGGTGTCCAACAGGCCAAGGGAATGGATGGGCCCACCAGGGACAACACAGAGAAAAGGCAACAAGGGGCAGAGCGAGGCTCCAGGAGCCCCCTTGCTCCAGGCTGGGTGGGCAAGAAGCAGCCAGCAAAGGAGGGAAGGGGCTCGAGGACAGTCCCCAAAGTCAGGGAGCATGTTCCAGGGGCTGCCCACTGACTGCCCAGCGAGCTTGCTGGCACCCAGCATTACCATGGCCTACAGCAGCCACCTCACAAAGCTCTTTGCAGGCCCGTTGGAAAGAATTCAGTGGGAGAAACACCCTAGCTGCAGTGCCGCCAGGAACTCACCTCTCCTCCTTGTTTTTGCAGATGCACTCTCCAATAATCTCCTTGATTTCTGGATCATGCACTTTCTCAAAGCTGGCCGGCTTGATGCCCTGAAGGTGAGATGAGCAGAGTCACCTGACACAGAAGTGGTCTCTCCAAGGGATCTGTTTCCTGCCCACCTCACACTAACCCCTGTAGAAGAACAGGCAGGAAGTGCAGAGGTTTGGGGGATAGGTGGGCTGTAGCAGTTGGGTCTGGAAAAGAGAGACTGGGGGATACGCGCACACTCTGCTGATAGAGGAGGTGGGTGGGGGCAAAGTGGACCGTCCAAGGCCACACCAGGCCAGCCAGGGCTTCCAGTGCCATCTGGAGGGTCTCAGAGGCTGGAGGAGGAACTGCCCCCCCATAAGGCCGGCCTTTCTCACCACATCCCCTGGTCAAGGGTGCTGAGGGCACTATCTGTGGTCACTACTGCTGGCTGAGGGCCACCAAAGACTCTGGCCCCCTCACGGCCACAGCGGAATTGACTTCCAAGGCCTGGTAGCTGGAAGGTTCTGCAAATGATCCATCATGCAGTTCCGCAGCTAGTGGCCAGGCCAGCTGACATCAGGCAAGGGGTGCCAGGGTGTGGCCCAGCATCCACACTGACCAGAGACCCAGCAGATGCCAGCTGCTCAGCCCTGTGGTCATGGCAAGAGGGGAGCAGAACCAGCAGACAGAGGAATTCCAGGAGAAGCAAGGGTCAGACCACAGGGTTTATTTGTAATCTGATGAGAGAGGGGGTTGCCTGAGGGGCACCTGGTTTTTAAACACTTTAAACACACTGAGGGTTCAACTATCCACATTCTTCCTCCTTCAACAAGATTCTGCCTTCAAAGGCCTGTCTTGATTTCTTTTTTAATGTACACAATGGGCAGCATACATTTCCCCACAATGAGGGAGGGTAGGAAAGGGGAGTACCATCCATAGTGCATGGGCAGACTTGGGAGCACAGGACCCCCGCGACTCCCACAAACCCAGGTGTGGCCCCACTGTACCCACCAAACCCCTGGTCCCCAGGACCTGTGCCCGTAACCAGTGGGGGTCATGTTGTGTCCCATGAGCGGAGAAGTCTGCAGGAGACCGAACCCTGGGCTTTACGAGCAGCCGAGGGTTCCCCTTGGAGATGAGTGAGACCCCAGTGCCTTCCCACTGAAGCCAACCAGAAAAGAGGTTTAATTATGCCAGGAGGAAGGGCCGGGGTGCCTACGGGGCAGGTGGTCTGAGAAACTACAAACACAGATAAGTGTGCACACGCTGTCACTTAAATCTCTGACAGACTGAGGCCCCCAAAGCCAGTGAAGAATATGACAGACGAACAAGCTGCTGTTCTGAAGGAGCTCCTGCATTTGGGCTCAGAAACATAGTCAGGGCAGTGGAAAGCCAAGGGCACAGTGACCCCACCAGACCCTGGGTCAGGGGCTGGAGCAGCAAATGTGTGGGTGCACAGTGAGTGAGGGGCCAGCAGGAGCACACGGGTGTCACTGAACAAAGAACACTGAGGATCAGGGAACACTCCCATCTGGTTTCCTCAGGGAGGCAGGGCGGGGCTGAGCCAGGCTTTGCCCAAACCAGCACAAAACCAAAGCAACACAGGAGCCTTGGGACCCCAGCCATGTCCTGTTTCCTGGGGCCTAAACAGGAGCGGTGGAGCTGCTGGGAGAACCAGGGTGGCTGAGGAGCACGCGCCCCAGGGCGCAGTCCATGTCACCCCAGGCCAGCAGATGAACCAGAACAAGGGTCTTCAGGCTGCCCCTCCCGTACCCCAGCACTAGTACCTCCAAACCTGCCAGTGAAGCCCTAAGCTCCCTCGGGTCCTCCCAATGCCCTGGAGGACACCGTCCACACCTCTCTCCTGCCGGCACCACCAGAAGCTGCACACCTATCTATGGGTCTATAACCCACACCCACAAGTGCCACCAGCCAAGGACCCTGCCCTCCCATCTCTCAGCCTCAGCAGCACACAGGAGGAACTTAGACTGAACAAGTGACCGCTAACTTACAATTAATAACCAAAGCAGAGAGACAGGCTGTGACCTTGAGGGAGGGCTCAGGGAGAAGGGCAGGACGAGGGCAGTGCCCTGGGTGGCAATAACCAGGCTCCTCATGCACAAGTAATGAGGGCACACCAGGGTCTAGAGTGACACAGCCAAGACATGTAGGCCATGGGGCCAAGCACTGCGGGCGCAGACAGGTGGTAACGGACTGGGGCCCAGGAAAGCCACAGTCCAGCTGCCCCACCTGGGACGCTCCCTCTGTGTTCCCCACCAAGCAGGACAGCTACAAAGTGAGTACAGGATGACCTGTCCGATCAAATTTAGGGACATACTGGAAGACAGAGAAGCCAACAGACCCCAGAGTGGCCCAGATGAGGGGTTCTGAGGACAGGGGGCCTGGGTACCTGGCGGGGCCCTAGCCTTGCTGCACTGGGAGGCCCTGATGACAGCCTCCAGGCACACCCCTAACACCCACTTATTATTATTGTTGTGTGGCTTCCACCCCCATCTGTGAAATGGCCTCGTCCCCACCCTCACAGGGTCGCTGTGAGGATTTCCCAAAGGCACAGGGAATCCCGCTGGGATGCACAGCCCCGCGCAGTGGCTGGGTACTCACACAGGTGACCTTCCGGTAGATCTGGGCGGCATTCTGGCACTCTGAGTAGGGGTACTCCGAGGTGGCCATCTCCAGCATGCACATCCCAAAGGCGTAGACATCCACGGACTCGTCGTAGTGCTCCTCATACATCTCAGGTGCCATGAACTCAGGGGTACCTGTGCCCGGGAGCAAGGCGCAGGGCCAGCGGTCATTGGCCCAGAAGGTCCCAGGACCCCTCAGAGCCCCAGGCCTCCTCCCCCATCCACATGCCATGCCATCAGTCCTGAAATCCTGATTCAAACAGGAGTGGCTCCACGGACAAAAGTTCCAGAAAATTCCCCCTGGGCCCTCCTGATTCTGGGCTGCATCAGCCCACAGAGCTGGGAAACTGTTATTTCCCGGGAGAGGGTCAGTGCCTGAAAGGCTGAAGGAGCCGTTCGCCGAGGCAGAACCCCGGCCAGCACACCCCCACTCACCGACAGGAAGGCTGGAGCACCCAGAGCAGACAAAAACCTGGGTCACCACAGGACGGCTTAAATTGCAAAAATCCAGAAAGGCCCCAAACCTCCCCAGACAGGCACAGCACACAGCAGAGCATCAGGCAGCACAGACAATCGGGGGCAGCTGGGCAGGTGCACTTCACCTGACAAGTATCTGGGAGGTGTTAAGGTGGGAACTGCTCATGCATTCTAAGCACAAAAGGTTTTAAAATAATTCTGTCTGAATTTTTAAGGAAATGGAGACTTACGATAGGCTGAGTAAAATAAACAAAATATATGATGCGTGTATACACACTGACCTCACCTATTCAAAACCACAACACAAACCAAATGACTTGTCTGGCAGGTGGGCTTACGGCTGATTTTTCCTTTAGTTACACTGGTCTGGGTTTTCTACTTTTCCTGTAACAAACTTTTGCTTTAAAAATTACACAATTCTTGTATGAAAATAGGTCTACCTGAGTTTCTGTCGAGCAGAATACAAAGAAAAGGGGCACCCACTTCAGGGAGGCTGCTTTTAACTGCTCTGTTGACTTTGGAAGATTTTCACAATGTCCCAGTTTTTTAAAACAGCAGATGAAAAATAGCATGAACTATTGTGTTAATAAGCAAATGGGGGTCATCAAAATGTTTACACAGTCATCTCTGGGATGGCTTCCAGGGCACACCTGGAACCGTCGGCCCTGTACCACGCTGGCGCTTTCTCAATGTCCTGAACCCCATAAACAGCTGCTCTGCAGCCCCTCCAAGCGCTCTCTTTGCAAAGCTGGGAGGGCCTCCTGCCTGCGGCCTGGACCCCTGTGGACACAAGGGACCCCCTGTGTGCTATGACTCTGCCTGAGGCCAGCATAGGACACCAGACACTGTGGATGGCAGCTGCAGGCTAGGGCCCCACCCACAAGGGCTGCAGGGTGACTTCTCAGGAAAACAAGAAACACAGAGGCAAAAATGGCCAGTAAATGGGCATCCATACCAAATCCCTCGGCCCCCAGACCCGCCCACCCATCTGAAATCTTGCTCACTCCAGCCCAAACACCCTGGGGCTCCCTCCAGGCCTCAGGCCTGGGGGCCACCTTCCTACCGCTGACCAGCTCTGGCAGGACCAGCTGCAGAGCCCCTCTTCCCTGTCATCTGGGCCTCCTTCCTGTGGCCCCACAGCCACAGACTGGCCTCACCAGCTGACCACACAGCCAGGAACCCACATGGGCCAATGCAGGGCCACAGCATGGCTGAGGGGCTGAGGGCTGAGAAGACACAGGCATACCTATCACACTCTTGGCAAAGGACGCTCTCTTGAGGGTGGCCAGGCCCAGGTCGCCAATCTTCACGGAGCCGGTGGGCCCGGTGATAAAGATGTTGTCGCACTTGAGGTCCCGGTGGATGATGGGGGGTGTCCTGGTGTGCAGGAACAGCAGCCCCTTCAGGATCTGCCGGCACCAGCTGCGCAGCACCTTGGGCTTCATCACCTTGAACCGCTTCAGGTACCTGCGGGGGAGGGGGCATGGCTCACCGGCCACTTGTGTGGGGAGGGCTTCCCATTGTGGAGGCCATGTGCTCATCACCCAAACGGGGACACCTATGAGAGAGGGGTGCTAGCTTCACGCCAGCCAAGACTCCCTGGCACACGGGCCCCGCACCCTGGGCCAGGCCTATCCTGAGGCCCTGGATGGCCAGGCAGGCGGTGCACTCACGTCTTCAGGGTCCCCGAGGTCATCAGCTCAGTCACCAGCACGATGCACCGCTTGCCCTTGGCGCTGGACTCCCAGAAGTCATAGAAGCGCACGATGTTAGGGTGCTGTAGGCCCTTCAGCATCTCGGCCTCCTCCTTGAACCGCTGCCGCTCCAGCTTGGTGAGCTTCCGATCCTGCAGAGACACACAGTTAAGAGGGACACTGGCACAGCCTTCCCCAGGTGGGTGGTTTGGCAGGCCCAGCCAGGCGGCTCCCTCAGCTGCTTCTGCTCAGGCAGCACAACAGAGGGCAGGGCCAACCCGGGAGAGTCACACCCTGCATAGGAAGCTCAGCAAAGAGGTCTCCAGAAGCCAGAGACACCGCGAAACCCACCGCAGTGTTCACACGCTTCTTCCTCTAAAATCACCTGCAACCTTCCTCCCTACACATCCACAGATGGAGTATGATGTAAGGAAAGAATTTACATGCAACTTTGAGGATGCATTAATGACCACAGCAGATGAGAACCAGAAAACCAAGAGAGAGCTCAGAGGCGAGAGAGGTGAAGAAAGACCAGAGTCCCAGCCGAGCCCTGATCAGTCCTGGGGACACAGCACACAAACCTCCCGGGCCTAGGGCAACCTGTGCCCAACACACTCAGCACAGCTGAACACCCTCCAGCACCGCGACCCACACAGGCTGCAGTGTCCCCCAACCTGCGTCTGTCACCTCCATACCCCTGCCTCGTCCGCCCCAGCAGCCTGGAGCCTGGCCCTTCTCTGCCTAAAAGCTGCCCAGAGTCTCACCACAGAGGGCTCAAAACAAAGCACAAACACTCATCTCACAGATGAGCCTCACTCCAAAATTCCCAGGGTAGCCTTCTCCCCACGCGTGAGCATGTGACCCCCAGCATCGCCTCCATCCTGGTCCAATGGCCCACAGAGCCCATGCACTCACACCTGGCCCTCCCGCAGGAGGACCCCCAGAGAAACATAAACACAGCTGAACATGGAAGAGGGGGCTGTAAGGAGTTCTAGGAAGACAGAGGTGCAATAGGACAGATGAGGGGAAAAATCACAGCTGAAAGGAAACACAGGCCAAGACCCTTCAGGTCCTTCCAAAAGACCCCAAATCAAGGCATGACACAGTCATCTGGTTAAGGAACTCTACGCCAAGTGGGGCTGTACCCATTTAGGCGCTCTCTCTCCCACCACCCCACCCGCCAGCCTGTCCATGCACACGTGGGACCAGGCAGCATGATCACCCACAGAGCAAAGAGATGCCAGGAGAAGCCCCTGGCATGGCTGATCCCAGAGAAACAATTCAGGGACAAAGGCAACTTCAAAACCATCTAGTTCATGTCCTTACAAGGATCCAAGAGGCTGACACACATAAATAAGACCAAGCTTCCACTTAAAAAGTACCAATCAAGAAAGAGCTCTTACAAATTAAAGCTCAACGTTTAAAAAAAGATATTCTATAATCCAATGAAACAGTAAGTACAAAAAAGTCAATGCTTAATCTAGATAAAAACATGGAAACACATTCCACTTATCAAAAATGATGATTTACTAAGGAAGATAAAAGTGAAGCTACCCACCAACTGGGAGAAACAATTCCGAATACATGTATCTGACACGAAACTCAGATCCAGAATACAGATGAACTCCTATAACTCAGTAATAACAAAAGACAAACAGACATGTCACAAAAGAACACTCAGAAATGGTCAAGCAGCTCATGAAAAGGTGCTCGGCACCAGAAAATGCCATGACAACCACAAAGTCCCACTTCACATCCAACACCAGGGTCAAATGAAAAGAAGGATCACTCTAGCCCTGCTGGAGGCTGTTGGAAGTGCAGTGGCAGGTCCCCACCCAGCTCTAGGCCTAGCCCCTCCCCGCAGGCGGGGTGCCCACCCAAGACAAAAGAAATAGGCATTCACAGAAGATGAGTACACAACAGCCCCAAACTCCAGAAAAGGCAAAGTAGCAAGTGGGGTTGAAACCAGAACAGCACTCGCCTCTGGGTGGGTGGGGGGTGCAGAGCTGAGAATCTGGGGGCAACGGGACCAGTGTAATGGAGGATGTAGTTACAGGTACGTACACCTGCTTGTCTACCTCAGATGGGTCTCATTTCATGTCAGTTATTGCTCTACTTTTCAAATGTAAAAAAATAAAGTGAAAACCGAAAACACACAAATGTGAGAAATACAAGAGAAACACCAAGAGATGTGGAAGAACCAGCTGCAAGTCCTAATGACACGGAACAGGAGTTCTAAGAGGATACAAGAGAAATCAGGAAGGAGCAGGAGACAGGGAATAGCATTTCCCTGAGCTGAGAGCACAACTACTCAGAATAAAAGCCAGTGCCCCGCCAGGTTCCAGTGCGTGAAAAAACGATCCCCACCAGTCTAGTTCCAATGGAAGAAACTCAGACTCCTGAGGGCCCTCCCGCCGCAGAGCTGGGGGTGGAGGGAGGAGGGGCTGGGGTCTCCTCTGTCACTCCCTCCTGTGCAGCTCTGCTGCCAGCACCTCCTCACAGCAGCGACCTCCTCACAGCACTGACTCTGACCTGGAACCCTACACCCAACCAAACAGACGTCACATCCGAGGCCACAGGACTGACTCTCAGACATTGGAGAACTCAGAGGTGACTCCACGCACCCGGGTGAAACAGTGACTGAAGAAGTGTTTCTGAACAGCACAGCAGAGGGAATGTGGCAAGCCGTGCCTGTGGCTGCACTTGGCCTGTGGCTGAACTTGGCTGCAAGTACCTTGCGAAGGCAGCCAGGAGGTGGGGCGTCCCCTGCACCATCCCCACCAGGCAAGCTGGCTTTGAGCGATGACATTCCAGTTCCAATTCCTATCCAATGGTGGGGGCACTGATTTTAGAGGAAATTCACAGAATCGCTTATAGTATAAATAGTTTTTGCCAGTACTTCAGTATCAACCAACAGCAAAGCCAAAGACTTTATTATAGTTTCAGAGCAGAAGGTTCATGTTAAAAATAACATAACTAGCAAAGTACCGAGAGGGGGCGGAAAGGGCCCTGTGTGTGCCACACTCTGGTTCTGTGACAGATACGGGCTAACAGTGACAAAAGCACAGGCATAACTCGGAAGTCAGATCGTTCCAACAGTGCCTCTCGGAGCTGAGGTGGGGGGGGTTGGGGGGGGACACCTTATTTTATGCTCTAAGCCACCAGGCTATTTTTAACTAGGTGACACACTGCTTGATAATTTAAAAGGTCAGTTGTGTGTTCTCAGAGCACTGCCCAGAGCCCTCCCGCAGCGTGCTGCCTGGCATCCCCTCACAGAGCTGGCCCAGGTCCTTGTCACTGTTTGTTGATCTCTAGTCAGCCCCATGAGAGCAGCAGCTCCATGGAGGCAGAGCCACCCCCGCAACTGGCCGTTGGCACTGCTTGTGGGATGAATTCATTAGCTGATGTGCTGGGATGGCTGCAGGTCATGAAACAGGGCAGGAGGCAAGTTCCTGACCCTGCGGGACCCTCACATACTGCCAGTCAGGTGGTCTTCAGGTGCAGTCTTGAGAGGGTGAGCTCCAGCGACTCCCAGGGCCTCGCCACAGGGCGGACAGCTCACCCACCCAGACGGCCACCCTGCCACCACGCCCCAGGGCCGCCTAAATTAGTGACTCCTGCTCTCCCACAGACAGTGAGAGCCAATCAGATGACAAAGGAAAGGCATTCTGCACAATGCTGGCTGTTGTCACCTATAGGGAAAAGGCCCAGCCAGTAGCAAAAGTCACCCTTAGAGCTGGGGCAGCGAAATGGGGTTGGGGGTACTTGGGTCAGACGTCAAGGTGGTCAGAGGAGGACAGCCCCTGGATCTGAAAGGCCTCTCCTGCATGAAGGAGTCACCAGCTGTGCCCAAACACCATTCAGGCCACCAGTGAGGGCTGAAGTCCTCAGACACAGGAGGCCACCCTCCTGTCGCGGTGGGGCTCTCCAGCCATCTCCTTTGAGCCAGGCAACCCCATAAGGACAGAACTACCCAGCAACCCCAAGTCCAGCCAGGGGAAGCAGGAATCTACACACACAGAGCACAGCAGGAGAATAAGCACTAGAGGAGGCTGCCCAGAATCAGTATAGCGTCCTGGGTGACAAACTGGCCTGGGACGTCTCTCCAGCCCCACCCATTAGGTCATAAATCAAAACAGAAAAAAGCTTCAAGGGTCTGTTGAGATCTGTCCCTTGTACAGGGAACTCAGCCCAAGAGGGGACTTCAGGTACTAAGTCAGTCCAGAACAGGCAGCTTCGGGGACAGTCAGCCCAGGACAAGGTCCCCAGGGATGGGGTCGACCCAGGGGAGAGGGTGCTGCTCTGTGCTGTTCCTGGTGGGTGTCCACAGGCCCGGCTCAGTCACCGAATGGTCACTGAGGCTCTGGGTTGCACGTAAGGGCTGAAAAACCTCAGGGGGAGTAGGCAACAGCCAAGAAAACAGAGAAACATGCAATTACACTGCACCTAAAAACAGGGTGAAGGAACAGGTGGGTCATGCCAGCCACAGACACCCCAGGCCAGAAGAAAAGTCCCCGTGGTCTGAGGAGAAGGGCAGCCCTCACCACCTAGGGTACCGGCAGGGCAGGTGTCCTGGAAGGAAGGATCCTGTATGTAGATGTGAGGTCCCAGGGGAGCAGGCCGAGCGTGGCTTCCGTCCAGGGACAGCAACAGGTGCTGCTTTCCCACTGAAGCCACCAAGGGAGAGGCCTAGTCAGAGTGTGATGTCTCACGCTCTGAGCTGTGACCTGCTCCATCTAATATTTACTGCAGTTATAAAAATAAACTTACTTCTTTTAAACCCAAGAGCTCTCTTTAACCTCATCTAAGCAATCAAATAGGTGAAATCTCAGGTGAGTGGTGCATGCTTTTGCTAATTCTCGTTTAAAATAAAGGCACTGTTATCGAAACGAATGGTCCTCCAGCGGGTGGCTGCTGCTACATTAGATGCCCCACCCCCACCCCCACCCCAGGCTGAAAAGACATGAAAACAGAAGATGCCGCTGGGCAGGGACTGCGGGCACCACCTCAGTGCACAGGCAGCTCAAGGAGGCTGGGGCTCCAACGACGGAGCCCATCGTCCCTGTCACAGCCGCCAACACGGCTGTGGCTGAGGGGGACAGCTGAACACTGCTACCCGGCCCTCACTACTTTTATTAAATTAATACGGTCT